CTGGGGTGATCTACAGACAGCCCAGGCTGGGGTTGTTTTTGCAGATGAAAGGAGCTGAACGAAGCCAGAGCAGCACGGCTCTCCCAGGGCTGCTGTCCTCCACCCTCAGCCCGCTGACCAGTAAGCCCTCCTCTGCCCACAGACCCACCCTACCCAGCAATGCGTGAAAAGAGAGAATGGCCCTTCTGTGGACAGATCCCTGCCCACCCCCTGCTTCTTCCTGTGGGCACAGTGTTTCAAAGCTTTTCTTCTCCTTCTTAGCATTAAAACAAATTCAGTAACAGACCCTGCTTGTGTCTCCTAAATGTTTGAAACCAACTCATTTGCTCATAATTGCAGGGGGGAAAAACACCCAGAGGTGACCTGGATATTTTGAATTTTCCAAAGAGAGAGGTCTTGGAAGGGGTTGACAGGGTGGGGCAGGGGTCCTCAGGTATCCAAAGTGAACTGAGATGCTGTGGGTGCACGTTTGCCCCTAGGCTCACGTTCAGATGGAAGAGAAATGACTGCTCCTGACTGCTTGGCATCTGGCAATGCTCTAGGTCTGTGGCTTCACTACCCCCAACCAAATACCAGGGCAAAGCCCTGGTCCCCCACTTCTGCAGTAGGTATGCTGTTCTTACCAGATGCGCCACCCCAAAGACTTTGTTTTTCAAAAACAGGAAAAGTATTGGTCTTTGGGGGCCAGGTGTACCCTTGGCCCAAGGCCATCTGTGGCCTCTATGATGTATACAGAAGGAAAACCTCAGGTCTATCTCAGTCTCTTAGGCTGCCTGCCTCCCCTTCTCAGACTCATAAGGAAGATTCCCAGGTGGACAGGAGGGATGGGACCAGTGCCTTCTCATGAGCGTGGGTTCCCCTGGAAAGAGGACTCAGAGCTACAGAACGCCAGGAGGGCCTCTCATAGTTCAGACGGGAAATTAGGTACCAGGTCAATGACTTTCTTTTGTGTGTGTCGCTAGGCGGGGTGGGATCTGAGATAGACAAGGGGCATGGAGCCCGGCTAGTGCTCCTGGAGAAGTGGCTATTTGCTTTATATCCTCCACAGTCAGGGCACCAGGAGGCTGGAGGGAAGTTTCGGTAAAGATGGATGGGAATTGAGTCCCTTGAAGTCTTGAACTACATTTCCAGCTCCAGAAGGCTGCAGGGATCAGTAAGAAGATAACCTTTGTCTTCTGGCCTGAAGTGGGTCTGAACACCCAGACGAAGCTGGGGTGAGGGCTCTCGGCATCTGGGATCTGAACAGAACCAGGAGGTGGGCTGCTGTGGCTCCCAGAGCCTGTGTGGGTCCCAGCTCCAGCAGTAGCCAGCGGGGACAGGTGCAGCCCCGTGATGGCGACGGAGGTGTCCCTTCTTCAGTCTTCTATGTGCAGATAATACGGGGGTCTCTCCCAAAGACACAGGACACCGGAAATATAGGCTTCTGAGTTAACTCAAGCCCAGGTCCTGACCATTACAAACACAGATCTTGGGATCCTGGGTTCCTGTTCTTCATGTTGACCCATGTCTTCAGTTTAGAGACGCCTCTCCTCCATAGGTGGACAGCTGACCTCTTCTGGTGGCTGTAGCTCCCAGAACTTTCTCTTAAGATACTGAGACCTTCTCCTGTTCTTCTATCTCTTTTGGATACTGGAACTGTAATCCTGCATCTTGAACCTTGAATTGGCAAGGCCTATGCTTTTCTGACTTGGCGTATTTTTCTCATTGGATAGGACAGCATCATTTCTGCAATGCAGATGCTTCCTCATGGGCTGTGCTGTCCTGGGAGTGCTGTGTACATGCATGTGTATATTGCAATGATTGCCACAGCAAATCCATTTCATATATGCCCACAGTATATGTGATTATACATATAACTGTATGTTTAGGTATGCACATGCACCCATGTTTGCACATATGTATTGTGTATGTGCCCATAGCTGTGTGGTGTTCCTAATTGCCTAAAAGTTTTCATAGACACTCAGGGAAGGGAGAAAATAATCTGAGACACAGGACCGATAATTTTCAGTGTTTCCTTCTCAAACAGAAGCCTGTCCTCAGGAATCTTTTTTACTAGTATCTCCAGGAAGTTTTATTTGGCTGAAGAGAGGGTCAAAGTGCTACTCTACAGGGACAATTGTCTTCACAGGATGGCCAGGAAATGGAAGTGACTACATAGAGGCTGTGGCCAGCTATGAAAAAGAGAAGGAGAGAGGGAGGGAAAGGGAGGAAAAGAGAAGCGTGTGTGTGTGTGTGTGTACATATCTCTGCTTGGGGGAGAATAACAACTACTTTGCCTTTCAGAAAGTCATTTCATTTAACTGGTGAATATTTGGGGTGAGTCTGTGGGTTCCAGTGGGGAGGGGGCTTATTCTCCACAGAGGGGGCTCAGTGTGAAGTTTGGGGGTGGGAACTGCCCCAGGATTGGGGGATGATTTTGGCTCTGGACTTTCTCAAAGGTGGCATTTGCCTAAATCTCCAATTCCTTCTAAACACGGGGCTATTTATCATTATATGCACAGGATTAGGCCAGGAAGAATTCACCCTACAAGACCACGTAGAAGAGAGACAGCCAGCAGGTAAAAAGGCACAGGTAAGGAGGCACAGGTAAGGAGGCACAGGTAAGGAGGCACAGGTAAG